GTTTTAAAATTGTAGAATAGATAAACAAGATTATGCGTTTTGGGCAAGAACACTACAGACATAATACGCCTTTCTCAGTGTGTCATATCAGGGGCACAGGATGTTTTATTACTGTTAATGTTATCCTTGATCACTTGGTGATATTAATCTTAATCGCTTGGTTAAGGTGATGTATCCTGGGTTTCTCCACAGCAAAGTTAGATTTTTTTCTTTTGCAGTTAATAAATTTCTTGGAGGAGATACTTTGAGACTATCCAGTTGTGTTTGTTCTCAAACCTTTGCCCACTAATTTTAACATCCATCAGCACATCTTGCCTTTGACAATTACTCTTGTGGTATTTGTGTAATGGTAATTTTTTATTTCTTTCATTGCTTTTGCATTTACTAATCGGAATCCTTCTATAAGGAAGAGCTATTTTTTCTTTATCTCTCTTTTTTCCTTCCTTCCTTCTTTCTTCCTTCATGTCTTTCTGTCTTTTTCATTCATTCACTCATTCATTCAACTAAGTATTTATACCAATATAGGCTCATGAATATTTATTTGGTCATTGGGAACTTTTTCAGATTGGCTCCTATGCTTTCTCAACAAGTCCACATCCCTTTTTGAATACTTCCTTGCTTTCTGTTACCATAAGATGCCCCAAACATGTTATATTTTTCCTATCCCAGTCCTGGAATCAGCCACTTCTCTAAAGGTCATTCTAAAATTAAACTCCTTTAGGAATTCTTGGCAAACCTAAGAAAGACCTCCTCATTCACTGCCACTCAACTTTGAACGTCTTTTCTATATTTTGTAATTCTAATCTATCTGGTTTATGTTAAGGATAATTTCCTATCTGTTGGATTAATTATTTCAGTGACTGTATTTTTCATTTTTAGAGATCCTATTTGGTTCTTTTCCAAATTTGCCTCTTCTTTTCCATTATGCCATATTCTTTTTTTTACTGGGAATCAAATGCCTTGTTTTACATCTTTAGTTCTTGTAAGTATTTTGTATTACTTTCTGCTTGTTCTGAAGGTCTTGAATATATAATCCTGCTGCTTGTTATTTTTGCTGATTCTCATGTTGGACTGTGTCATTCTATGTTTTTTAAAGTTTTTTTTTTTATCATGAACTCATTTTTAGAGGGCCTTATTTTATTTTATTTTTCTGTGCAAATCATTTGGGTTATGTATTATTGGAGTGTTTTTCGAGAGTGTTCAAGGTGCCCCCAGCTCAGTCATTTTTCAGTAGATCCCAAGTTAAAGAATATTTTTCTGCTGTTTCATGGAAAGTGGAAAATAAGAGCAAAAGCACTGAATCCAAGTTTTCTGAGATACTCTTTCTGCTGTCTTCTTTGAGTCTCTCCTTAATCTGTGTTCTTAAGTATGTATTACTCATTTATCTTTGACATGTTTTCATTTGCTACCTCTTGTAGTGTTTCCTAAATAATCTATATTTGTAGGTGAAGATAAATTGTGTGTTAATTGAAACTTAAGAGACTGGAGTGTTTTAGATAGATTAATCCTTGTTAAATTCTATCTGTGTGGACACTCTTCCTGCCTGAGTTTTACAATTTTAATAAAATATCTATAAGTGAAGAAATCATTTGTTGTAGTTGGAATTGAACTTAGGAAGATATTTGGATATCCATAAAACCAGATACTGAAATGACTTAAGAACACTTGGTTTAAGGAAATTGGGTCAAGCTAAAAATAACATTTTTGTTGGGCTTTAGTTTTATCATTTAACAGCCTCTTAACAATCTGAAATGACTTTTAAGACAAGGTCTTAAATTACTATTAAATAATAAAATTATTCACCTACCCCCTTTAGAAGTTTTAAGATGATTTGAGAGTATTTGATTTATATATCTTAATATCCCAGTTTTCTGAGTAGTGATACAGTTTCAGCAAGGATGAAAAACTAAAAGAACTGTGAATACCTAGATTTAGAAATGTTCTAACATTATCTTACCCTTTGTTTCAGAGAATGGCTATTCAACAATATATGTTGCTAATCTGCAGTTAATTTTGTGTGTATGTGTGTGTTTGTGTGTGAGAGAGACAGAGTTTTACTTCTTGGTTAATGAAAATATAGTTGTAAAAAAAAGTAATGGTGTCAGGCAGGCTTCTTTTGAGGAACTTCTTGTTCCTAAGGTTTCTTACAGTAAAAGAGTACTTTTACTAACAGCTTCATACGAGCTGGGATTTTGTTAGACATTGACTTCTTTTATTTGCTTCCCAGGTGGTTTGTATTCGCTCCACTTGGAATGCTCTCTCCCCAAAGCTGAGTTGTGACACGAGACCCCTCATTTTGAAGACCCTCAGTGAACTGTTTTCTCTGGTTCCTTCCTTAACAGTCAATACAGTTGAATATGAGGTATGCATTTAGAGCTCAGTAAATTGTCCATTTCTACATTGGAAAGACATATGCTTTATAATAACTTCTGGGAAAAATATTCATAATCTTTTGATTGCCCAAAATCCTTTAACACTCACTGTTCTGTCAACATGTTGATATCTTTATGGACTCTTAGAAGTAGCAGGATTTCCACCTTATCAGTTCTGTGCAATTAAGAATTATTTACATGAAGGATGCCAAGTTTTTATTATGAGAATATAGTCAAGATTTTTAAAAAGTCAGTATGTTAAAAATAGTGTTTCAAAAATAATAGAATTCATGGGGCCAACATTTTAAATTCATTTTGTTAATGTTTTAAGTTCTAAAAATACGTTATTAAGGCTTTAATGTGGCACAGCAGGCTCGCCTAGTAGTACAGACATAGTGTCATTTGTGTTTTGCTTCTAGCTTAGACACAGAGATTTGATTTTTGCATGTTAGTTTATATTTTCTGTGTACATCTATGCTCTTCATCTGTACTTTTCAGTGAAGGCAATTGTATAAAGGATAATAATTTAATGATCTAGTCAGTGTTTGTCTTTGTAATGAATTGAAACACTTGGTGAAAGATACCTTACTATAAGATTCACATATTTCTGCTTAACATTTTCTTCATTATCTCTTCTTTGAATGAAATGAGAGGATGGTGAATTTATTTATATCTCCATTTCTGTAGCCATATTCCCTTTCAAGCTCACCTTTCTTTTTTTCCTTGTCCTTCGAAGAGCCTCAGTTGATTTTCACTTGAAGCCTTGGTGAACTTTTATTTAGTGCTTCAGAGACTTTGATAAACCAACCCTCCATGTGGTTCCAATAATAACCCCCTTACTGTTTTCAGATTGCATGATAAGACAGGATTGTGGGATAATACTCCTAATCATTCTAAAAGCTGCACAATGAATAAAATCAAATTTGTCCTCACCAAGGATGCAATACCTAGCATAATGGCACATAATGTATATATTCAGAAAGTAGTTGTTAAATGAATGAGTGAACCAATACAGGATATTGTGAGTTCATTCTCACATTTGGGCTTTTATTTTAGGGTATTGAAAAAAAGAATCAATTCGAGACTCCTGGAGTGTGTAGTTCACCAACAGTCTTTCTTATGGCTGCTGTTCATGGGTGTATACCCTTATTTGTCAGAAAGTCTGTCTGGCTACTACTGATAAGGAGCTAATACTAAAATCCAAAATAAGGACTTTGTATGTAATGTGTATTTTTATTTTCTGTCTTCAGGGGCTGAACCCATATACCTTTGTATGGCTTATACTTTAAATTATGCAGATTTTATTACAGGTTAATTTATGAAGTGGTTTTTGTGTTGGTTTCTTATGTTTGCTTACCCTGGTAAGCTGTAAATTGTCTTTTGGGCTGTATTTTCCCTCGAATTTTGCATTATTTTTCACTGGCATCTTATTTTGGTTTGGGTAGGGGATTAGGGACAGTGGCATTAAACAGGGGAATGACATTTGTACTAAGACTTGAGAGGTCAGAAAGAACTGGTTAGGTTCCTGAATTTAATCATTTTAAAAACTCATCATGTTGAATATATCCACATGTTTAAATGATGAGTCAGTTTCTGAGTATTTTCATTTTATGAATGATGGGTGAATATAGATTAAGTCATTTACTAGTGAATAAGTTTGAAGTGATTTAATTTCCACATTTGCTACTTTACATTGTTTATTCTCAATTTTTTCTTTGTCTTAAAAATTTATTCTGCTGTTCGTTGATTTTTCAGAATTTTAAAGTTCAAGTCCTCAGCTTCCTCTGGAACCACACTCAAAACAAGGTACCAGCACACGGTGTCAGTGAACCAGAACCAAGCTGGGAAAGGAACTGGGAAATAAGACTCTTAAGATGAAAATATGACTCCCTTGAGATGCTGCCTTCTTGGTTTTAAAAGAATTGTGACTATTAAAAATTTATTTTAGGTTTTAAAAATTATTCATAATTTATGCCAGTTAATACCTTTTTTTTTTTTAAACCATAAAACACGCTTATTACTTTGTGAAGCTGGCAGCTTGAAGAGGGACTGTTGCCACTGTCTCATATTTTTAATGGTCCTTCCTCTTTCCTGCTTTGCCCTTCCCACCGCCAGTAAGCACATCAAACAAACAGCAAGTCCACTCCATTTTTCGGCTGTCATTTCCAAACAAGCTGTATAGAGGAGAGGGTGTTGGTGATGTTCTCCCTGCCTCACTAGTGAAAAATCTTACATTCCAAAAGGCCAGCTTTCCCTGTTGGTAGCTAGAGAAACAGAGTCCAGTTCCAGACCCCTCGGACACTAAACCCCATAGTCCTTCTGCCAAACCATCTACCTCATGGGGACCGGCGTAATTATGAGTTACTTTACATTTAAGGTTCCCAACTAGGATAAAAATCTGGTCCTCCTGATGTCTCTGTGCAATGCTGTTTTCTCTATTTTTAACTGGGACATATTAAGCGAGGCTTGAATACCGTCTCCAAAGCCCAGACCGTAGAACTTTGAGGTTGGTGAGGGAAGATTTTCTTTGTTCCTCCAGAGTTGCTGTTTAATATATGTTGTTTCTTTTGTTTATTTTACTTTTACTCTGTCTAGGACCCAGTTGTAGCAAACGCTGCTTATAAATCTCTGTCACACTTTAGTGCCGGAGAGCACACCATCCTTCATCTGCCTGAACAGGTAGGCCTTTCTGCTTTCTCACTGGTACCTCTTTACTGCTGGATTTTATAGTTTCATTTGTGTCCCTCCCTCACCCTGAGATTCTTACCTGTAACTCTAGATATGTCGTCCATAAAAGATAAGAATTCATATTCACTATTTGCTTAATCTGTGAAAGATGGTAGAGGTCTTAGACTTCACAGATAATGAACTTAAATTTCTTTGCAGCAGATGAAAGACACTTGTGGAGCAAACGAAGTCTCCATGAGGTGACTGGGTGAATGACTGCATGCCTGTGCCCATGGCAAGATCTGTGTCACTATAGGAACCACTTTATCTAGTTAGTGTACACCATCTTAGATTTCACATCCAAGCATGGTCTGCATACCACCTGTGCAGCCAAAGATCTTTGTGATACAGAATTGAGATGCCATGTGAAAAAAAAATTTATTATTTTAATTTGAAATGATATATAGGTTAGCCTCAGAGAAGTAAATGAAGAAAGTATCACTGTCTTTTAAAGATTAACACATTGTGTGACATTATCTTAGTTTTTAAACTAAACTAAAAATATACAACCTTTTATAATATCTATGTAATATAACCGGCTTTAAATTACCAGGTTGTGTTAAGGAGTTCAAAGGTATACAAATGCTTATTGAATGCCTTTAGAGTGTGAGGAAGACATTGTGTTAGGAGAACTTACATATAACATCACCCAGAATCAATTCTTGAGGTCAAATGGAAAGAAGTTTTGTTGTGAATTTCTTGGGACCCTCAGGCATTAAAATGGGTTGAATTTTTCTTCTGAATTGATAGATTAGATGCCAGTAGGAACCAAGCGAACTTCTGTTTACTGAATTGAATTGGAAGGACTGAAGATTGGCTCTTGTAAAACCAAATCCTGAGCAAGGCAGGATTTCCCATGTTACTGAGAACTCAAAGACAGATTGGCTAGCTTGTCGTGCAGTTATCTCAAACAGGAAGCCTTAAGAAAAGCTGTTCTGTGACTTTTAAAATTAAAAGAGATGGGATTTCAGACTGCACTATGGTGACTAACAATACCCATAACTTCTTTTAAAAAAAGAGAGAGAGAAAGAAAAGGAGAAAAAAGCTACATTAAATTTAGTGTGGAAACTCCTACCAATAGATTAACTACAGTATCTGGAAGATACTTTTTATTATTATTATTATTTTAAATAAGCACTCACTAATTTATATCACAGCATAATGATTGCCTTTATTTTTAGGTGTTATTACTGAAATATTCCAGCTGGAGTAATAGCTTTTATTAAGTAACTCCCATATATACTCTTGACTGTTTAGTCTCTGCCTCTTTAAATATTGATATGTTTGTATTTTTTCCTTTTCGGGTTTATATTCAGTTTCTTACTATGTTTGTTAGAGTTAATACTCAGTTAAGTGCTATCCTCAGTCAAATATGAGATTTTTTTAAATCTAACTCTTCTATATCCTCTGATCCTTGAATAGCCATAAATAGCTCATTATACCTTCCGACATAAAGGGTAGTGATGCATTTAGAGTTGGAGTTTCTGTATATGCTTGGATTTTTACCAGCAAAGCGTAAAGAGCTATAAAGGAAATCTCTAAGATTTAACCTTTTTAGCCATGCTTTTCAACTCTTTTCTGCCCTAACCCCGTTCTGGGATTATGACCCACTCCCATAAGTAACAGTGGTTCACTTTAGTGGATGTTCTAAACTGGGATTAAGATAAAAGGACATAATGGTCTACCCCACTCCGGCCCCAGCTTCTGACACAGAGGACCCACCTCCTCCTGGAGAATCATTGCTTCCAAGATCACACCATGTATTCTTCTTCCTCTTCTTATTCATTACTGATTGTCAGTTTGATTGTCTGAATACCTGAGGCCTAAAAGTCCAGAAAGTGGTCAGTATGTTCATATTCCAAACAAGTCCCCAAAAGCTAAGGATACAACCCAGTCAGCTCCCACTTCTGTTTTGTAGATGATGACAGTGATGTGAAACTGCGGTTCATTTTCTAGGAAAACAGATTTGCAGTTGTTTCAGAAGTCCCTGCCAGGTAGGGACTCCCTATAATGTAAAGTCTAGGATCCTTCCTTGTTGTCAGAGATTTCTCACTCTGCACCAAGGGCAGTTTGGCTCACTCGCAAAACTGAAAGCTACCTGTGTACCTTCCCAGTGAAAGTACATCCACGTTCTCTTTTTCTGTTTGTGGAAACTGTGAAATAATCTCTTAACTGAGCCTACTGTGAATCTCAAGCAGAAAACTTTTTTAAAAAGATACAATGCATGCTTATCAACATGGTTACATTTGTGGATTATAATTTAGCCACTTTTGTAAAGTACTGCCTTTCTTTAAATTTACTGTAGAAAGATTTCTTGTTTATTGATGTATCAACTTAAACTATGAAGCTTGCTGAAAGCTAACTGGCTGGTAAAACAAAAGGCATTAGAGGAGTGGCAGATGGAAGATGTAGGGTTAACTAAAACAGTACATCTAAGGTAAGATGGAAAATGTCAATGGAGAGTACAGCTGAATGAGATACCCTGTGAGTTAGGGATTTGAAAACCAAATTCATTAACTCATCTTTTTTGTCACTGGTTTGTCATTAGGAAGTTCTGTGGGATTATTGATAATAGAATCTTAATATTGCATTGGTTTATTTATGTATTGGATGTATGCTAAGTGCTAGACCATCTTATGAGCTGGGAATAGTGAATGAATCCATATGTTTGTTGGTTTTTAAAAATATTATTTTTAATCACTTGAAACATATGAATCTAAAGTTGGTCAGAAGTTTTCTTTGAGGACCTATTGATTTCAGTGTTAAAAAATAGACATGAATGATTTTTCCCTTTTAGTTTGTATTTCTTTGTCTTTTTAGCTGTTTATCTTTCTCCTCTGCCTTCTTTAGTGTCCCCGCAACCCTCCAAAATGAAATAAACAAAAAACTGTAGAGAATTGTCTTTTTGGTAAAATAATCAGAAATGGATAAACATTTAGGTTGACTCTTCTCTCTGACTTGGGTTCATTAAAAATATTTGACTTTAAAAATTGAACTTTTTATTTCAGAGATCTTAAGATGATTATGTTGTTGATCTCTGGAATTAATTTTAGAAGTAATATAAAAGAACTCATTATGCACCCTGGGTTGTTATTAACATGATGTAACCTGTTCAGCTTTGATTTAAGTGAATGTCATTGCATTCATCAGAAGCTGTTTCTCTTTTTAAATGAATTTATGCAGATATTTGACGTGTTCCAAATAAAATCCTCTGTTTATGCACAAACTCCTGGATTTTCATAGGTTACACACACAGAAAGGTAGTTGAAAGGTTACCTGGCTCAGAACCTGTAGTGAGGAATTTTGTAGGATAAACTTTCCAATATTCAACATAAAGCAGATTTTTAAAGTCATTGATCATTTTATATTTGGGTCTCCATTTAAGTTTATTCCACAAAACTTAGCTATAACTGGAAGGGCGTAGTTGGTGTGTGCGTGTGTGTGTGTGTGTATTCTAAACATACAGTTTTCCTGGATGTTTTAGTAGCTAATATAATTACCAACATTTTATAGTTTTAACATGCATTCTTTCACATGACTTCCCTTGATTTTCCTTAGTTGCACTCATGTTGATCTTGATCGGTTGTTGCACACAAGCCAAGGGAGAACCCTGGGGCTCGCACAGGGAGGCTGGAACAAGTACTTTAAGAGGTGAACAGAGGAAGAGGGAAATGGAATGAAACCAAGGTCTAACAACAAGTACTGATTGGTTCAGGAGAATCAATTCACCTTTAAAGAAGCAAAATTGAAGGAATAATCCTACCATTATAAGTAGGCAGAGTACATCATCTATACTTAAATTGCAGTACACCTGTAGTTTGTTAAAATACATGCATATGTAAGGTTCAGGCATACGTTGTTGACCACGTAGCAGATAAATTGATATAGATGTCTGTCCAATTATGTGAATGCAGAATTAGACAACTTAAGATGGATGAATCCACCATATATTTTCATTTCTCTTGATCGTATACCTAGGAGTGGAATTGTTGGGCCATATGGTAATTCTGCATTTAACTTTTTAAGAAACTGCCAGGCTGTTTTCCAAAGGGGCTGCACCATTTTACATTCCCACCAGCGATGTATGAGGGTTCTGATTTCTCCACATCCTCACCATCCCTGTGTTTTCATATTAGCTTAAGTGTTTACCACTGCCTTCCACCTCCCTCAGTCTCCTATCATTTGTGAATATGAGGTATATCAGAGCTTCCCAGTGCTCTGATGCACTGGTGTAGTAACTGGTGTTATTAATGTAGTCTCCATCTGTCAGCCTTATTGTCTCTTTCCCCTGTATGCTGTTCAAATATTATTTTTAATTTGTACTATGATGTGTAAAAAAAGTCAGGAAACAAAGTAAATGGACCCAGAATCAACTCCTTTTTTTAGAACTTTTTAGGCAACTAGGACTGGTTAGAATCTCTAAGATACCTCTTGATGATACTAATCATGGCAAATTCCAAGTATATATGCAGACCAGAGACACTTGGAAAAGCCTACTTGTCAGAACCGAAAGATCTGCAAATGTGCCAGGATTTCTCTGGTGTGCAGTGATATCAACAAATGCGGGCATGCCCTCTTCGGAGCATACATCATTGTTATCTCTGTAATTATGGCTCGCTGGGTCCTCAGAGAATTAGGTCCTCAGGACTGAATTAGAATTAAATCTTGTCTTGGAAAGTGCTTGGTGGTCAGGTTGCTTTCACTCCTTCACTCGTGATAAGAACACCAGTTATGGTTGAAGGCTTCATTGGAGTTGAGGTTATTAGACTTGAGAGGAGCATTTTCTCTCTGTTTTCTTTTATCCCCCTCTAAGAATCCTGACTCAGTGCAGCTCCTAAATGGAACAGTGCTTTGGGGACCTATGAAGAAGGCAGTCTGCAGGAATTGTTAATTATTTCTAAAAATAACTCCAGGAGACAGGCTAATGGTAATGACTGGGTTCTGGCACTTTATGGTTATAGCAACCACTTTTATATATTTTGATTTCCTCCCCTAATGCTTGATTATCTCTATGTGGGCATTACGACGGTGTGTCATTGAAAGCATTAAAAATTTAATTAATTACTTGACAGTTATATCTCGTGGAAACTACAATAGTGGTAATCTTACATTTTTAATTTTTGGTTCAAACAAAACTAACTAATCACAGAACAACCACAAAAATCTTCAAACTGAAAATTATGCACAATAAAATATAGCTACCAATTACAGATTTTAGTGTTTCATATTCTATAGCAACAAACTACCAAGTCTAAAAAAATGTCAACTAAAGCATTCTGAATTTCCTGATTCCCTACTATATATTCTTTTAGAAGATTTTAAGCTTTGTCACTGAGATGTGGCTGAAATTACAAATTTTTTAAAAATGTATGTAGACAAGGCAAATGTTTAATTATAGACCATAGTAGTTCAATATATTGAATGTGTGAGTGTTTGCTTTTTATTGTTGGATGGTGTAAAATTTTATTAGCTTTCTATAATAATCATTGCTTAGGCTGGTATATGTTGATTTCCTTGCTCTATTACCATTAGTTCTTTACATGGATCTGGGATTGTATCTAAGAAGAAGATTAGAGTTTACCATGTAGTTAATCTAAAAATGAATAGATTTTTTAAAATTAATTTTAATGGTCTTTTGACATTCTAGAGCAATGAATCTAACCCAGTTTTTGAATCTCAGCATAAAAAGGACAAAGGAAAAATTCTACATAATGTTCTAGTATGGCCTTCTCTGTCATTTCAGGTAAGACCAGAAATCCAGGTTCCTGATGAGCTGGATGAAGATGAAGATGAGGAGGGAGATGAAAAGGATGTGGATCTTTCAGTGCCTGGCTCGTGCTATCTCAACCTGTTGTCACTCACTGCTCCTCTGGTTTTACCAGGTGACTCCTATTTGGTGTCAGGAAAGCTAGAATTTTTCAGTGATTTTTGCTTCATTGTGCTCTTTTGTGATGTGTACATATTATAGCTTACTTTAATCCTAAATGCTTATGTACTATCTGTGTTCTATAGGGAGTGCTGGAGGTGGGATGGTGTTCAAAACACTGAAAAATGTTAGACTCGAATAAAATTGAACTGGAAAACTAGTTTAAACAGCTATTTTCACTGAAACATTTAAATTCATTGCAAAAGCTAAATTTATTCAAAAGACAAATTTGCTGTGGAGCTTTAAGGCACTGATTCAAATGGTTCTTTAGCTTATTGTATAAGTTAAGTGAAAAGATCATTAGAATCTTCAAATTTACTGGGTAGTTTTATTATTATAAATTTTTTTTATAATTACTCCAAAGCTGGTACCAATAACTGAGAGCTATACATTAACATTTTAAAAACTGGATTAAATTGTATGATCATTCAGTTTTTGATATAAAGTTACAGGACCTTGACATTAAAACAAAATTGTTCTCATTCTATCTAATCATTCTAATTTAGTATTAGCCAACATTTTCTCAAGCATATATCTATTACCTTGTTCTGTCCCAATTCTGCCTTGAATGTTCATGGATGTAAAAATTTAATCTCTGAAAGTTTAGTTCAGTCAATGCAAGAAATATCTTTATCTTCTCAATCATAATCTCACTAGTCTGTAATGTTGGAAGTTTTTATTCTTGGCTTCATCGCACATGGAGATCCCTGAGGAATTCAGCCAAATTATACACTAGTGTTTATTGCTAGACAAAGCTCTTGTCCCAAATCCTTGTCTGCTTTCACTAGAGAAAACTGAACAGTGCAATGTAGAGTTGACCTTTTCTTTTCTCCTCATGTGCAGAACAAGGTTTGTTCCCTGTTTCTTTCTTCTGTTCATCCCCACTTCCTACCTTAAGGCTCTTCACAGTCTAGGACCTCCCTTGCAGTTAATAGTGAGTCCAAGAAAGGAGAAAGCCTTTAGTTATCCAAAGTCCTCCTGTACCCCAAATAACCTTAGAGTTAGAAGTCCTCTTGGGCTTTTTTAATGACTTTGTTCCCTCTTACATGGATTCCTCACCCCAGTCTTGTGGTATCAGAAGAAAGGGGAAGATGTTTGTTGCCGAGATGTGTTGTTGTTTCTGTTCACCCGGTATTAGCAGTATCGAGGTGACCATTAACTGGCTCTTCTGCGTTGTTTGTACTTGATGGTTGCTGGCGTCTTTCCTTGAGAAAGAAGGGGAGGATTTGAGATCAACAATTGTGTCTATTTGAGAAAAATTCAATAATTAAAGTCAGATGAGTGATCTAGTGGCTGGCTGTCTCTGGCAAACCGTGTCACCACGAGCAAAGTTCTTCATTTTTCTGTTCCTCGCTTTCCCTCTGTTACTGGAGAACTCAGAAAAAGAACCAGGGAAAAAAGCACCAGCCTTAGCAATGTATATCCTAAAAGGTACAGGGCGGATGACATGTATTAGATCTCTAGGTTCAACAGGTAGAAAACTAGATTGCACCGAGTGTAAGAAAATCCTAGCCCTTTTCTCCTCTTAGTTCCTATCAAGTAAACATAGAAGAAGCTGCAAAGTAAATCCAGTAATTTGCGTTATTTTAAATAGGGATGTTACTGGTATTGATTTAAATTTTTTTTGAATTTTAAAATAATTTTAGACTTACAAGAAGTTGCAAAAATAGTTCAGAGAGTTCCCATGTACTTTCACCCAGTGCTCCCGTTGATAACATCTCATATAACCTTAGTTCATTATTAAAACAAGGAAATTCATATTGGTACAATACTACTAACTAAACTATAGACCTAATGGGATTTCACCAGTTTATTTTTCCGTACAGTATGTAAGCTTTGAGGATTAGCTCTTTTTTTTTTCACTTAGTATCGTGTCTGAGATTCATCCAAATAGTTGCCTGTATCAATTCTATGTTCTTTTTTTATTGCTGCCTAGTATTACATTATAAAATATATCGCAATGTTTTTTTTATTCACTCATCTGTTGAAGGACATTTGGTTTGTTTTAAAAATTTGTATCTGATACTATGTGTCCTACACATTTTCAACTCTTTTCTAATCCTCACCTGGTCATCTGAAAAGAAGAGACTAGGGCAAGGCTCAAAGACAATGGAAAAAATTCCTAGTGGCTAGCTTAGTGGCTGGGGGAAGATGGCACCGTACATATCAGTTGCATTCATGCTATTTTACCTTCATATAAACTCTCAGGGCTGGAATTATTTGAGAATCCTTAATTCTCTAAAGAGCTTGACAAGTAGACAAATTTTCATTCCTGGGTTAGTCTGTGTGCAGATGTGTACTTATTTCTTGACATGTAGCAGCTTTTACCAGAACAGAATCCCTTCTGAGAAAGCATGAAATTCTGTCCTCACAGACAGTTAATTCTTAGGTACATTCTGGAAAGTTTGTACTCCCACTCTGCCCAGAGCAGTCATACATGTGCATGTGCAAACTGGAATTGGGTTATATGATCTGCAGTTGGATATTATTCACATTTTTCATTTAGACGATGTATTGATCAGGGTCTTCACAGGAAATTCAGAGGGAGTAATTGAGAGTTTAATAAAGGGACAGCTTAAAGATGTGTTTCAAGGTTAAAGGAAATTCATAAACAATGTTGATTCATCTCAGAATGGTTAATGTCCCTAAGCCTAAAGAGGTAAGGGGAGGTAGCAGTTAGAAGAATAAGAGAGAGTATCTGTGTCATAAATAGGGCTGCCTAAGGGGAGCCAGGACCTTCAAAAGAGGGGTGCAGGCAACCTGGAACAGTTTTGCAGGAGGGTTTCTGGGGAGTATATGCCTTGACCTCTGTTTTTACCCTTTGATCTCCTACGAGTGTCTTCCGTTGGATGAAACCAACCAAAAGCCAGAGGATAAAGGAAACTGGTGATGCAGTTGTGAAAGGTTATTCTTCCAGGCCACAGAGTAGGGTTGAGAGGATGAATCTGGAGGGACAAGAAGAAAACATCCTACGCGGATGTTCTCTGGGCTTTGAATGGATAAGCTTGGTTACACCCAGGAAGGTTCTGTATGGGAATGACTGAACTAGGCCCATAATAGATGTTCCAGTGAGCACTTGCTGCCTTTAATTTAATCATAGTAATTTAAAGAAGACTTTCAGATCTTTTCTGAATGAAATTCCCGTTTAGGTAGGTGGACTCTTGCTTTTTGTTCCTATAATAAGAGGCACATGTAGTGGTTTCCTTTTTGGTTTTCCATATGATTTGTTTAGCTCTAATTTTTTGTTGTTTTTGTTTCTGCATTGGGCAACCTCTAGTGGATCTTAGGAAAATAACACTTGAATGTAAACCTATAGTATTAAATCAAGTGTTTTGTTTGGATATCGTATTGGTTTCTGATCCTGCATTACTGTATTACCTTATAGTAAGTAAAGATATCAAATCAAAGATCTTGGGCTTAATTAGAAGGAGCACAATCAAAGAAATAATGGATTAATTTTTTTTTAAAACTGTACTGATACTACTACAGGATGATGGATAGTCATGAAAGGCCTCTCTGAAAATACCTAAATGACAAGAAGGAGCCAGGCATGTGGAAATTGGGGATGAGTGTGTTCCAGGTGGAAGGAAGAGCAAGTGCGACGGCCTTGACTTAGATGTGAACTTTGAGTCTGAGTGGGGAAAAAGGCCATATGGAAGCGTGCCTTTAATATAGCTAGAAAGGAAGGCGGGTGGTAGAGATGAGGCCAGAGGGAGAGGCAGGGGCTAGATCACAGAAAGCCTTGATCATTGTTGGAAGTTCTGATGTTACTCTATGTACAATGAAAAAACACTGGAAGATGTTAGGGAAGGGAGTAACGTAAAATTCTGGCATCTGGGAAGAGGATGATTTGTACAGAGCAGTCATGAGGAGATGAAACCAAGAAACTAGTTTTTAAATTCATCCAGTTGAGGAAGAGAGAAGATGATGACTGAACAAGTAGCAGTGAAAATGGAGAGAAATGGGTGTATTTGAGATATATTTTTGAAAGTAGATCTAAAAGGACTTGCTAATGGATTACATGTAAGAAGTGTGAGAAAGAGAAGAATTGAGAATGACTAAGTTCTTAAGCTTGAGTAACTGGGTGCTGTGATCTGACTTGGGGAAGAGTAAGAAAGGGATGGGAATCAAGAGTTCTTTTCTCACTTTGTGAAATTTGGCCTGAAATATAGCTAAGTTGTTGTGTATATGTGTATATATGAGTTAGGAATGAATGTTTCTATTCTAGCATACTGTATTTACTCTACTTTTGATCTCCTTTTATCTCTTTCAGCTTTGGAAGAATTTTTTACATCTCTTGTGAAGCAAGAAATGGTGAATATGCCCCGTGGCGTGTATCACTCTGCATTAAAAGGAGGTGCCCGCGTAGACCAAGGAAAGACTGTAGCAGGAATCCCCAATTTTATGTTAAAAATGTATGAAACAAACAAGCAACCAGGTTTGAAACCTGGCCTTGCAGGTAAGCACACTACATGGTATCAAGGTACAGGTTTTTAATGTAATAATTTAACTTCTACTTCAAGTAGGATGTGATAGGGCATGGCAAGGCATTGCTGCTGCTGCTGCTAACATCTAAACACACAGCTGGATAGATGAAAAAATAAATCTCATTTTAAAGCCATCAAAGAAATATAGAAGCAAAGACATAGGTGAGATAAAACAAAGAACAGACTAAAACTACAGAATGGGGAGACCATTTTAGATTGTTCTCCATGGATCCCCCCACCTTCCTATGGGGAATATTCACTGATTCTGGCTGTGGGCTAAGATTGGTGATTGACCCAGGAAGGGGCCTCTTGGAGGACAGAGAAACCGGTGAAGCTTTTAGTGGTTTCATGGGACTAGAGTAATGTGATGATTAATTTTATGTGTCATCTTGATTGGGCTAAGCAATGCTCTGATAACCGGGAAACATTATTTCTGAGTCTGTGAGTGTGTTTCCGGAAGAGGTTAGCATTTGAATCAGTAGACTGAGTAAAACAGATCCACCCTGAGCAATGTGGGTGGGCAACATTCGATCGATTGAAGGCCTGAATGGAACAAAAAGGTAGAGGAAGGGTGAATTGGCTCTCTTTGCTTGAGCTGTGAGATCCACCTACTGATGCCTTTGGCCTTTGGCGCCCCTGGTTCTCAGGCTTTCTGACTCAGGCTGAATCACACCACTGGCTTTCCTGATTCTCCAGTTTGCAGAGAACAGATTGTGAGGTTTCTCAGCCTCAATAATCTTAAGAGCCAATTTCCCTAATAAATCTCCTCTTGCTTATCTGTATATCTATATCCTGTTGGTTCTGTTTCTCTGAAGAGTTTGACTAATACAGGTGACAAGCTGGAGGTTTTCCTCATAATATACTTAATGAATTTTGAGTTTGCATTGAAAGTTAAAGAACTAGGCTGATGCTTCTGAGAGGCCATGAAATCTCCAGTCTTGTGGTGCTTAGGAAACAAAGACTGGTTAGGAGAATGGGCCTGAAAACAAAGCGCACAAATAGTGAATGAATACTGACAATCTACAGCTCTTACTAATTCTGGCCTCAGCTAGAGACTGAAATTCAGGCTTGACTGTAACAAGAGGTACAGGAGGCAAAGAAACCAAAAGAGATCTTGAGATATATGTGGTAACCTGGGTGACAAAACTGGGGACTTGAGGGCCTTCAAACACACAGCCTGTTTCTCCCTTAAAATATTTGTCAAATTTTGAAGCTTTATGGGATGGGAAGTTAAAAGCTAAGCTGAAAACCTCCAAGGACAGATCTGAATTTTCTATAATCTTTCTGTATTGTGGAGTCAAAGACCGACTAGACTGTCAGTTGAAAATCTTGATGAGGCTGCCCTAGGAACAGGGTTGAAACAGAGGTGGACTAAGATTTATCAAAGCTATAATTCAGCCTAACTCAGTTAAATCCCTGAATAAATTGAGATGATCAGTCCTTCACTCGCTCTGCCTAACAGAGGAGAAACTCCTCTCTGATAAAAAAAAACCCCATCATTTAGAATTTCTGTGGTTCTTTCAAGCACTGTCAAGTATACAGTGAAAAAGTGCTAGAAAAAAGTCAAAATGGAAATTAGAAAATATTTTGAACTAAATGATAAAGAAAATATGTCAAAATACAACTTGTGGAATGTATCTAAAACAGTGTTAGTGGGAAATTTATACCCTTAGTACATATATTGAAAAAAGAAATAAGGAAAAGAATAATAATTTAAACTTCCATTTCAAGGAACTTAGAAAAAAATAATAAATTAGCTTAAAGAAATGATAAAGGATGGAATAATAACAAGAAAAATAAAAATCAGTACAATAAAAAACATAAAATAAAGAAAATCAGCAAAGCCAAAAGTTAATTTTTTGGAAAGTTTAACAAAATTGATAATGCCATGGTAAGTCTGAACAAAAAAAATAGAGAAATATAGATTACCTATATTAGGAACAGCAAAGGAGACACCACTTCAGACCCTACAGTGTTCAAAAAATTAAAGAATATTATGAAGAACTTTTAGCCAATTTTCACAGTTTAGATGAGATGTCAAAATATAAAACTCTGCAAAACTGACAGGAGGAATAGACTATATGAACACTTTGATTTGCATTAAAGAAATTGAATCTGTAATAGCCTTCCCACACAGAATACCCTAGGTGTAGATGGCTTCCTTGGTGAATTCTTCAAAAAAATTGAGGGAGAAATAATAATGGTCTCTATAAACTCTAACAGAAAATTATAAAAAAAAAAAAGGAACACTCTTGATAAGATCAGCATAATCTTGTACCAAGTACAAGAAGGGAATATAACAAATCAGTGTCTTCCATGAACATAGTTGCGAAAATCCCCCCAAAATGTTAGAAAATTGAATTTGGCAGTACATACAAGGGGTTAATTTAATATTTGAAAATCAATATAATTTATTAGATTAATAGAATAAGGCAGTACAATCTTTAGATGACCTCAGTAGATACAATAGATAGAGAAATAGCCTTTGAAAACCTTAGCTCCTATTCATGATACAAAAAAAGACTCTCTCATTAAGCTATGACTAGAAGGGAACTTCTTTTATTCTGATAAAGAACATCTACAATGCAATCTCTGTACTTAATACTGAAATAATGAAACTTCTACTCCTTGAGATTGGGAAAAAGATGTGGATGCTTGTTATCACCAGTATTATTCAGTATCATGATGGAGGCCATAACTAGGCCGTAACTAGCCAAGAAAAAGAAATAACAGTCATAAGGATTAAAAAGGAAGAAGTAAAATAGTCATTATTTGCCGTTGTTGTGATTGTGTATGTAGAAAACTCAAAACTACAGACTAATTAGGATTAAAAAATGAATTCAGCAAAGTTACTGCATACATACAGAGGTCAACATATAAAAATCAATTATATATTTTTACATACCATAACAAAAAATGAAATTTAAAAATTATACCATTTATAGTAGCACCAAAAAGCATCAAGTACCAAGAATAAATTTAGCAAGCAGTATGTAAAACCCTTATACTGTAAGTTATAAAATATTATGGAGAAAAATTAAAGAAATGGTACTAAATGGATTGATTTACAATATTTATGGACTAGAAGACTCCATGTTGTAAAAATATCAATTCTTTTCAAGTTAACATATAGATTCAACCCAATCCCAGTCAATATCCCAGTAGGTTTTGGAAATTGACAAGCTGATTGTAAAATTTATGAGGAAATGCAGAAGACCAAGAATAGCTAAGGTCATCTTGAAGAATAAAAACAAAGTAGGAGGATACACATTACCAAATTCAAGACCCTGTTATTAAGTCATCATAATTGACAGTATGGTATTGGTGCAAGGATAGACAAACTGACCAATGGAAGAATGTGGGGTGTCCAGAAACAGACCCACACATACAAGGTCACCAGATTTGTTATACAAGTGCCACTGCAGTGTTGTGGAGAAAAGGGATGAACTTTTCAACAAATGATCCTATAATTAAAAGTTCTAGTTTTTAAAAATAACAAATTCTATTAAAATTAGGAACATGTGCTAATCAAAATACACCATTGAGAGTGAAAAGGCAAGCCACAGAATGAGAGAAGGTATTTATAATACGTATATCTGATAAAGGACTCGTATCTAGAATATATAAAGAATTTTTATAAATCAATAAGGAAAAGGCACTCATTGAAAAACAGGAAAAAGAACTTTCCCTTCAAAAAGAGAGTATTCAAATGTCCAATGAACGTATGAATAGATGATCAACTTCATTAGACATCTAAGAAATGCAAATTAAAACCACAGTAAAATACCATGACATACTTAACAGAATGGCTAAAATGAAAAAAAGATGGGTAATATGAAATACTGATAAATATGTGGAGCAACTAAAGCTGCTGCTGGGAATGTAAGTTAGTACAACCAGTTTGGAAAACTGGTACTGAACAAATTTATACCCAGTTACCTAGCTATTACCCAAGCAGCATAAACAGCATTGAGTAGCCCTAAACTTGGAAGCTATCTAAACACCTGTTGACAGTAAACTGGATAAATAAATAATGGTGTAGTCACATGATGGAGTACTATTCAGTAATGACAATGCATATACTACAACTGCCAGTAACAATATGAATGATTCTTAACGATTATGTTGAGTGAAAGAAGCCAGATATAGAAGCGTATATACAGCCTAATTCTAGTTACCTAAATTACCAAAGAAGGCAAAAGGGTTGCTACAAGATTGTTACCTTTGGGGTGGAGGTAGGTGTGACTGGAATTAGACATGAGAGGACTTTGGGATATTAATAATGTTTTGTTTTGATCTGTGTACTGATTACATGTGTTCATTCAGTTTATGAAAATTCATTGAGCTGGATGCTTATGATATGTGTACTTTTCCTTATATCATACTTCAGGAAGAGATATTTTAAAACGTAATCATCTCTGTTTTAAGTTATCTTAGTCCTTGAATATGTCTTCTCATTGGCTCAAAATTACTCAGTTTCCAAGACTGCCCTAACTCATAGTCTAGCATTTGGCTGCCTGCTTTTGCTTTTCAAATGCCACTGGGGGCCAGCTGATGCTGTAAATTCAACTTAGTTGACTAGAATAGGAAGGACTGGGAGAAGAATTAGAGACGGAAGAGGGAGGAAAAGAGGGAGATTGAATGTATGTGAGTTCAGGTATGAGGGAAAACTTGTCCACTTGTGGGTATAAACTAAAGGAACCCCTGTTATCAGGAGTTCACGAAGACTGACTTGTGCAAGCATTTCTCTGTAATTGAGATTTAGTTTTAAAAAAGAGTTTAGAGTCTCTAGAAGTAACAGTTCACAAAATTTAAAATGATTAAATTTACAATTCACATCTTATTTATTTACAAATGAGTAAGGCTTATAAATAAGTGATAGTTTCAATCTGGTAACTTCTTGTATCTTTTCTATTTTTTGCTTTCCTGACACCAACAGTTAAAAATCATAATTTGCATAGCAAATTCTTTTAATTTCTAAATATCTCTATCCAGATTGATTGAATTTGGATTACTGAGAACTTAATTAATGAAGTTTTCCCATAAACAATGGTTTTATAAGTTTCTTCTTTTTTTAAAGGTGGTATGTTATTTTGCTATGATATTTCAACGTATCAGAGTAAAGATGGCAAACCATTGAATCGACTGATGGCCAGTAGAGGGCGAAGTTTCAAGCAGACCTCGCTGGCTCTAGTGCATGAGGTGGGTGCCTTCTCATACTTTGTAACAGGTTCTTCTTGCTTGTATATGTTTTGGGGATTCCCTCCTTCACTTTGGGCCCATGAAATTTAGTGTATGTTTGGAAATTATTTTTCTCTTAATCATAATTAATGTAAGTTGCCTTAAAAGACAAGAAAAATAGTTGACCCAACTGGATACTAAAATATTTTGATGTGTTTCTCAAAAAAACTGGCATGCTTCCCCTACTGCCTAGCCTTTTAGGGAGTAGTATCTAGGATTTTGGTTTATTTCATCAGTGTTTAACTGCCATTGTTCAGAATAAATAGCAATTTATTATTTAAAGAAATATTCTTTCCTATTTCTTAATTCTACTCCTTTGAAAGTAGGTAGGGCACCAATGTGTATATTTTGTGAATTTGGGAATCAACAGTAAATAAGAGTGTTTAGGGAAAAAAAACCTTTGGTTTTAGAGTTTATTTTACTTTGCTTTTAGGGCACCCTTTTAAAGTAAAATTATGTGATACCATTAGATGATTTGCATGAAATCTGATCATTGCGGATCATAGCAATACTAGAGGATGGGGGAGCTGGAAAGTATTTGGGAAATTTGTGTTTTTGTTGTTTTTAAAAATTTTATGACAGTTATTCATAAAATGTATACAATTTAAATAGTGTATAAAAATTAAAATATTTGAATAACAAAACACAGCAAAGAGGTTTATTTTGTAAAATTTAGATATAATAAGTTATCTACCAGTTATAGATGAAAATGTACAAATTATAAAAATTGTAAAGGATATGAGTTAAAAGTAATTAATGCTTTTACAGTATGTTTGCTTTAAATCTTATTTTGATGCATAATTTGTAAATGTTGGTATCGCTAATTTGGTTGGATTATATTCTGTATCATACCATTTGCCACCAGTTAGCATAGCCAGTTTTTAAAGACCAATTTTTATCATATGTGACCCACAGTCCTTTCATATATTTAATTAGAATTGAAACTATGTAAATATTTTGTTCAGCACCTTTTTTGTCTAGTACAGTGTTTTTATTTAACTAAGGAGGGGGAAAAAGATCTGGGAAGAGCTGTGTTTCTCTAGGAAGAAGAGAGGTTTAATTTCAGAAAAGCGAGGAAAACATAGGTAATTTTGTTTTCCCTAGCATCTTATTAGATGGTTTCAAGAAGAGAGAGATTTGGTACCTTTTTGTGTGTTTTTAAGCTGTGCACTTAGATGGATAACCAAAGTGTTAAGTATTAATGGAAGTCTGATTTCAAAAGTCACCATCAGACTAGAAGTAGGAAAAAGTGCTAATGGGGATTGCAGAAGACACCAAGGAAATTCAGCAAATGGTATCAGAACTTAGGAGGTGTGCCTTAGATATGAACAGAGAAAATATGTGGGTTAAGATACTTGCTGCTTGTATTGTAGTATGCCTAGAAAATTTCAAAGTTGAGAAGAGATCATTATTTTAGAAGTCAATTGGAAAACATATTGTACAGAATTCTGCCAATCTATGATAGGATTTTAGTTTGGATTCATCTTCTCACTGTAGTTCATTTTAAAAGAGGCAAAAATAGAGAATGAGTTGTGCAGTTTCTCAGACTGACAAATAATAAGAATTTTAAGAGCTAGTTAATAAGGGTTACAATAATAATAGCTAATAACCAACTTAGGCACTTTAAAAGTTTCTGTGTGTGTATTAAGTCATTTAATCTCCATATTAACACTGTGAGGTTGGTACTGTTAATGTGCTTGACACACATAAGTAGAGGAGCCTGGAAACTGAACCCAGGCAGTATGAAACTCCACTGTCCCTGAACTACCTTGTACCATCCCAGCTTAAGCAGAGACATTAAAAAGAATACCTTCGGATTTTTCCAAGATAAGTCTAGTATTTCCTAACTCTTCTCCATGCTTCTAGTCTTTCTTTTATTGCAGTCCATTTGGTATTTTTCCAGCTGAACTTTCCTCAGACTCTGCTTTGATTCCCATTACTGCCTTATTCTGAGTCTTTTTATTTTAAAAAGCCTGTCATGAGAGTTTCAATTTGTTTGTTAATTTACCCATTGATGGACCTTTGGATTGTTTCCAGTTTTTCCAGATTATAACTAAGCTGCTGTAAACATTATCATGCAGGTGTATGTATGGACATCTGTTTCCCTTTTCTACTGAGTAAATAAATACTTAGGAGTGAGATCATTGGGTCATATGCTAAGTGAATATAGGAAAGTACTGAACTCTTTTTCTCGTGACTGCCCCATTTTGGATGCCTACCAGCCATGTAAAGGAGTTCTAATTGTTCTGCCTCCTCACTACTGCTTGATACGGTCAGTTTTTTAAATTTAGCCATAATGGTTAGTGGTTTCCCTTTTGTGGTTTTTAATTTGTGTGTGTTCTTTTTAAGACTACTGATATGAGCATCTTTTCATGTATTTATTTGCCGTTTATGTATTTTCTTCCGTGAAGTGTCCTGCTCTTTTGCCCATTTTTAAACCTGGTTTTTGTTTTCAAAAGAGTTCTTCATATGTTCTGGATATAAATTTTTTATTAGAGATATGTTTTGCAAATATTTTCACTTAATCCATAACCTGTCTTTTCATTTGCTTAGTGATGTCTTTTGAAGAGCAGATCTTAGTTTTGAAGAATTCCAATTTTCAAGTTTTCCTTTTTATGGTTCTTGCTTTTTGTCTTACCCAAGGATTTTCTGTTTTCTTTTTTTCTCCCATATTCTCCCTTTTTTAATTAAAAAAAGGTATAATTTATATACCATAAAATCCACTCATTTAATCAGTTCAGTGGTTTTAGTATATTCACAGAGTTGTGTAACCATCACCACAATCAATTTTAGAATATTTTCATCACACCCCAAAGAAACTCTGTACCCATTAGCAGTCACTCTCTATTCTCCTCACTCTCCAGCCTTCAGCAACCATGAATCCACTTTCTGTCTCAACAGATTTGCCTATTTTGTACACTTCATATAAATGGAATCATGCAATATGTGGGGTATTTTTGCCTGGCTTTTTTATGTAGTATAATGTTTTCAAGATTTATATACACTATAGTATGTGTCAGTGGTTCATTCCTTTTTACAGCCGAATAATATTCCATTATATGAATATATATCATGTATAGTTTATCAATTAATCACTTGGTGGAATGCCTAAGTTTTCTTGTAGAAGTTTTATAGTTTAAGGTTTACATTTTAGCCCACGATTGTTTGAGTTAATTTTTTATAAGGTGTGAATTATATTTGTTGAATATACCATCCTTTCTTCACCCAGGCAACTTTGTCAAAAAATTATTTGTCCATGTATGCATAGGTTTATTTCTGTACCTAATTTTGTTCCATTGATTTCAGTGTGTAGACATTAATCAAAACCACAAAGTTTAATAATTGTTTCTTTATAGTAAGTCTTGAAATCGAGTAATATGAGTCCCCCAATTTTGTTTTAAATTTAGCTGTCTTAAGCCCTTTGCTTTTCCATATAAATTTTAAATCAACTTTGAGAAACTACAAAAAAGCCTGCTGTAATTTTGGTTAGAAATGTATTGAATCTGTAGATCAATTTGGGAGAGAACTGACGTCTTCATAATATTGAGGTTTTCAACCCATATACAAAATGTATCTTTCCATTATTTTAGGTCAATGTTTTATCATTTTATTTTTACAAATTTTGCACATATTTTGTTAAATTTAACAATTGCATATCCCTAAGTATTTTGATGCTAGTGGAATTAGACAATTTTTTTGGTTTGTCTTAATTTCCAACTGCTCATTACTAGACTGTAACATATAACTGATACTTTTTTTTTATAGCCTTACTAAACCCTCTTATATGTTCTTACAGCTTTTTTGTAGGGTCTTTTTGTTTTTCATTGTAATGTTGTCTATGAATAGAGATTGTCTTAATTTTTTTTTTCTGATATGTATGCCTTTTATTTCTTTTTCTTGCCTGCTTGTGCTGTCTAGGGCCCTTTGGTATGGTTTTGAATAGGAGTGGTGAGAACAAATATTTCTTGTTCACAGTCTTGGGGGAAAGCATTCTGTGTTTTAACATTGAATATGATATATTTAGTTTATTTTAGTATAGAGATTTTGTAGATATCCTTTATTAGGTTGATGAAGCTTCCTTTTATTCCTAAATTGCTAATGGTTTTTATCACAAATAGATATTGAATTTTGTCACATGGGTTTTTTTTCCTACATTTATTGAAATGATTATATACTTTTTCAGTTTGTTGATATGATAAATTATTTTGTTTGATTTTCTAATGTGAACCAAATCTGCGTTTCTAGGGTAAACTCCACTTGACTATAATGTAGTATCCTGTTTATATATTGCTGAATTTGATTTGCTAATAACATTTTGTTAAGGATTTTTGCGTCTGTGCATCTATGAGGGATACTGTTCTGTAGTTTCCTTATAAAATCTTTGTCTGATATGCTATCCTTATAAATAGTTTTCCCTTAAATGGTTGGTAGAATTTTCCAGTGAAACCTCTGGACTTGGAGTTTTCTTTAGGAATGTTTATGACTATAAATTTGATTTATTTAGTCTATGAGACTGCTTACTCATCCATCCATCCATCCCTACTAATCCTGAAGTGGGGATTTGGGTGGCACAGCATATATGACAGTTAGTGACTAGCTCCTTTTTTAAAGTGTAAACTTCATAAAATCATGGAGTTTGTTTTGGTCATGTGTAGCTCCAGTGCTCAGTATTCCTGGCACCTAGTAGATGCTTTATAAATGTTTGCTAAATTAACGACTTTAATCCTTTTGAAACTTGGATGTGTCTTATACTTTATATGTGCATTTAGCAGGATCGTTACCTTTTCCAGAAATGTTGTTATTAAATTGGTGGCAAATAGAATATTTTTGAAGTCTTCCCAAGAAATGACATTATTGTCATTTGAACAAGCTCTTATGTACTGTTTGTGTTGTTATTCATTTATATGGTTTAGCCTCCCCGCCCCCCGGCCAAAGATTACGTGTACCTATAGGATATTCTG